TCTGATTGGTCAACTACCATTCTCGTCATCATAGTCTACGATCAAATCAGAACACTACATGAAATAACTCTTATACAACACGCGCACTCTGATTGGTCAACTACCATTCTCGTCATCATAGTCTACGATTTCAGACTGCTCAAACGTGGTTAAACGATCACCGTACGCTTTAGATGCACCTTAAATYCAACAAAARAMGCTYTCATTATACGGACMATARTTTATAATACGGGCACCGAATCTAYAATGTCCGAAATACGGAGGTTCATGATTAAAAGGCTATTCTTATGAATTATATGTAGACTATAACAGAAAGAATTCACTAAACCACCCACCAAATGCTGAYACCATTAATGGACAATAATTAAATCATGGAAATTTACTATATTACTGATTAATAATACATGTAATGACGATGAACGGTTCGCTCAAGTCTGAAAACAAGGGTTTTTACCACAGATAAAGAAATAGGTAAATTAAGTATGTTAATCCATTAGTGGATACAGTTCTAGAACATGACACTTACTTGCAGCTGACATTGGAAGCTTATACCCGTTAGCATCGCGACGGACTTTGGACCCATGTTCATCGCTTGAAATTCTGGAAATAAACAGATTACATAAGAAAACTGATGAAAAAAAGAAATATGTAAATGAAAGAAAGGAGAAATTGTCGCTCATTAGACGAGTGGAAATCAATTATTTCACATCTCCCTCACAGGAAGTAAGATCGATTAAAACGCGACAAAATAGAATTAAAAAGAGTGAAAAATATAAAAAAAAGTATATAAAATGAAATTTGAAAAGAACACAAACATATAAGAATAAATTAATGAAATTGAAGAGTTATTGGCTTAAAAACAAGTTTCTCACAAGATTTGAACAGAGGTACGCATCTCACGAGACAGAAACCATAACTTATTCAGCAGTATGTTGTATCACCTCAAGCTATCACGGTATTTCAATACTAGGGCCGAAATATTAGTCCTTATCGAATGTGAATATGATGGTTCATAGTCAATATATAGTGCACGGAGTCCATACGTAAAAACCTCTCAACATTGATAGAACCACGATTATGAGCATACTTCAAATCTCAATTACGTCGACTTGATTGATGCACGTAGAATTCTGATAAAAAATGCCGCTTTTATCTTGTATAACGTAAAGACGTCAACACCGTTATAGTCTCATTAGCATATACGTACCTACTAAATTTCCTTAATTTGAAACTAAGAGCAGAAGAAAATAGCATAGAGACAGAGACGTGTTTTCTTGTGTTTTATAACAAATAATCTGTTATAGGGTTCAGACTCATAAAACATGCAATACCGAAGGGAGACATGGGTATGGACTTCACGCCGAATAGTGACATTGAATAAATTATATTTCTATGTTATACAAGACATCAATGTACCCTCAAGAACACGTTTCATAGACACGGCGTAATTGATAAGTGGTCCTTTAAAATACTCTTTGTCTTCCTGTTTCTCTTTTCTTTTTAATTCTACTGCTCGCATTTGAATATTTTAAATAAATTTTCACTTCCCATAGACCTTTTCTGAAATACAAAATCATGATGCATTATGGTCTAGCTTCAGTACAAACAACGCCATATTTGGCAGCACGAACAAAAGATGTTTGTACCGAATCTAGACCACAATGCAATGCAAACTGCTATCTCAGAAAAGACCTATGCGTTGTTGCTTGTTCACGACGCGTTGATATAAGTTCAACTAATTTTGTATGGAGCAAGCCTAACCATTAATCGTCCAATAATAGTCCAATTATAACTCAAAACACTAGATATCCCATCATACCTCGCGGTCGAACTATCAAGTGTTYCAGCCTTCTAATGAACAAAGGTCATTGAATACGCTGTACACTTCGAGGTGTATTAAAATAACAGTATAAAGGATCGATACTTACAGTATAGATGACTGTCCTTTTCGTACTCCAGGTTTACCAAAATCACTCAAATTAAGATTCTGCGCCTAGACGATACACATGATGTCAGTGAACAAGTCATTCTACACTAAGACACATTACAAACACCCCTTATCCACAAGGACAAATCAGTTACTAACAGGCATCAGTTTGTAACGCTCCAAAACCCATTTCGGGCAACTTGACATTTCAGCCACCCGTTCCGTTAATCTTCGTGGTGGTACCAATCAATTCTAGGCGTTGATTTCGGATGTTTTAATAAATTAGTTGTACGTATTGACGATACAATTTAGTAAACTCTTGAAGTGAAGTAAATGTACAGGAGATTGTACCGAAATAAGTATTCTAATCAGTATTATTCTTAGCTCTTTATTGAATGTACTTAAAGTTACAATTAACATTTTAATCTAGAACTGGTTCTATATTAATGTAAACAATTACTGTAAATAGTGAGCATACAAAATAGCTWTTTCATCCCATTTTTTCAACACACTACAAAAATTATCAATAAAAAACCGACAACTGTTGTTGGCAATTTTGTCTTTCATGATAAAGGAAATGCATGAGTTTCGSGCGTTTTTATTTCACTATCATGTCCTTATACGSAACTGACAAGTAGTGATAGTTGTTCCTACAGGGTTATTTTACATATTTCAGATTAACTGCCTGTGTTTGGCTATACTTTACAATGCCTGAAGATACACAAAATCGGTTATCGCAAAACATTTGGTCGCATTTGATTCGTTATCTCCTGCTGGTTTGAACAAGAAGACATGAATCTCTCGTTTTGTCATCAAGCTATATCCATGCCTTATTACACAATATATAACGTAAAAACTTCGTTGTTTTCACTAATAAGTAAATATATTTCTAACAATTATAAAGAAAAGCTGTTCAGTGTCCAGTTTTTACTTGTGACCTTGCTAATTTTTTTTGCAGTCATTCATTATTGATGATGAATAAAATAATTTTAGAATAAAAATAAACATTTCGTTACGCAAGGATATGAGAAAAACAGGTTCACTTCAAAACTTTAAAATATGATATGGAGCTAATCTTAGTGAAATATTGTAGTCGACTGAAATAATTCTCGCTCAAGCTGATGTGTTGCTGGTATTTTTATACCGCGCACGATGAAGCTCATCTTGTGTAGGACATGCAGTTCAATATCAAAACACACATAATTACTGGTAATGAGTATGTTAGATTGACACACCAATTTATCGAGAAAAAAAAGATGTTTTTAGTGTAAAATTGCTAGATAAATAAGGTTTGAACAGTGTAGAGAACGAAATTATTTAAAACAAAATAAAACCAAGCTAAACATAATTAAAAACACACATTGAGATATTAAAGGCAAACAGTTTGAAGACTAATCGAACCTGTCTTGAGAGAGGAGAGCTGAGTCCTTTGAGTATGCGAATACGTGTCTGCCCCTTGGTCAAAGACGARGTGTCTTGTATAGATATCCCGTTCTTGCTGGTTCCTTTGGATGCCTGTTTTACCATCGTTACATCAACTTCACACTACTAACTATAAACACAGGGATTTCCAACAACGAACTAACTCAAAAACCAAGAGCCTCGCTCTTCACGTCATGGTATCCGGCTCGCACCGTCAATAAAACGAACTATTTTGTTGCCACGGTGCTGTGATGACAGGTGTGGGAGATTGTCCTCATGAATTATTTATGATTTATTGACAATACTGCTCCTCTAATAGTTCATTTGCACCTGGATGGATGAAATTTTGCAAACAACTCACTCCATATAAGACTTCATTATACAAGAAATTATTCAATTCGACAATTGTTGAAAGATTCTATTTTAGCAATTTGAAGCCATTTGGTTGTTGAAAAACTATTTGAAAGAATGCTTGAAACCTTTTTGATTTAACAAAAAAAACATTTAAATGCTGAAAACRATTCGAGTGCTCCAGAAACCATTTAAACACTGAATCGATTTGAAAGCTTAAAGTGAAAAGACTCGAAATCGACCTGATTGTTTGACAAGCCAATCAAGTGCGTTGAATGGCAGATATCCAGGAAATCATTAAAGTGTTTGGGTAGATTTTCAATCAAACAAGCACAAAGCAACTAAACATTATGAACACAAGATAAACAGCATTATTATGTGGATTTACGAAAGAGATGTGTTCATTTGCCGATAACMAATCAAGACAAGACGATAATTGACCAACATTCTCTTGATGTTTTTCCCGGAACAACTAGAGACGTTTTAATTGAAAAACAACGCGATMAAACCAGAGTTAGCAAGATTAACCCATGTTTTTGGCATTTATCGTGTAAAAASTGGTTTTCAAGACTTCTAAGGTAGCATACATTATCTATCATAATTCCGCCGTCATGATTAATGAAAAACAGCACATTTTATTTTGGACTAAGAGCAAACGATTCAGTTGTTTTCATTTACCACAAAGGTAATGAAGTGTCGAGAAAAAGTTAATATCTAACTCAATATGGAAAAACATGTTTGATAAAATCATATATTTGTGTAGTCTATAATAAGCATAAACAAACCCTCGGATAGGGAATCCTTGTTGTGGTAGTTTGYACYTTTTTTATGCGGCTGACTGATCATCAAGAGATCTTTACAAGAACAAGGTGTTTATGAGAACCCAGCATCATTCACACAGCTAAATATAAAACAAATCAACTAAAGAAAACGTTATTTCCTTTAAATGATGACGCACATTGCCACACGTTTAGTTGTTTTATGTCGCGTCTAATTGCGTCGTATTCTCTCTTAAATACACTTTGCTCTTTTGCTTGTCAGTCATTTACATTACGCACTTTCTCGTCTTATTCAGGTGAGTACATCGTACTTGAAAGTGGCACAATTCTTTCAAGTATCGGTTAATAAATTATTRTTATGAATAAACTCGAACTAGTTTAGAAGGACAGGTTTACATTAATGATGGACCTAAAAAATTTTTGTTTCAATTGAAAGGAAAGGATTTCCTTGTTCATCCTTTACCGAGATATTTACTTTACAATTTGTACTTAGTCATCATCCGTTGTCAAATAATAAAATAACTTTTTCTTTAAATTAAAAACCAGTTGAAACAGTTCATAAAGAGTTTCAAATATGACACTATATTCTATTGATTGCAATTAATCAAGAAATCCACGTATGTAATTGAAATGAAATTTGAATATTTTCACTAAATAGAACGGCCAACTGCGAAAATGTCTCTAATTTTTTTCCAAAAATTGCTTTACTTATTACAACATTTGTGTTTGTACAATTCTCAGTATTACAATTAGTGCTGTGATGCATGAACAAATAATTGATAGTTTGCAAATATTCACAAGACGGTCCATAATGAAATATACTAGAAGTCATGTGACTGTCCAGGAAATGAGTGCATAGAAGTACCATAAAAAGCTTTTCACCTGTTTACTGGCTGTAGAGCTCTTTAATAGATTTTGTTGGTTCATTAAATGAGGTAACTGGTCAGAATGCTTGGCCTGAAAGAAACGTTATTGCCGACTTTCATGACCGAGTATGAAACTGGGTACAAGTTTTAAAATTGCACAAATCGGTGTGTGACCTACATAATCTGAAAGAGCAAATCTATATCAATAAAAAGGGAAAGTTTGGTGGAAATCGAGTCAATTTTTCAAAAATTACAGCCATTCAAAAACTKTTATTCTAGTGTACATGTGAGGAATGCTTTCCCCACAATCTGTATATTCCTTTGTAAATTTTAACATTTTTGAACAGCTAAAATTTCTTAAATAGACATCTGAACTAAACCAAACTTGGGGATATTATCAATGTTGATGTGCTCTTCAAGATGATACACGTAACTTGGCYATTTTTGCAATATTAAAACTCGAACCCAGCCTCCTGCTCGAACATGAAAGCTGGCAATCATCATTGTTAACATTATCCTGGCTCATTGTCAATACAAATATAACATCACTGTAATTACTCCCATTGTGATAACAGRATCCTCAACCGTATAACATTGATGCAATAGTCTCATGTCAGAGTTTTTACGGAAGACCTAAAAACGTTTATCGTATATTGGGCATATTGTAAGTTACTCACCTTCATATCTTTACTGTGATCATCTGCCTGCTGCAATGAGTAAATAATAAGGAGCTCTGTTACAATGTTTAACACAGTATGGAAGCTAGAATAATTTATTTTTTAGTAATATCAACCTGGGTTTGGTGCTTGTCAGATCCTAGTCCAAGGTGAGGTAATGTCACTGGTACTGCCATGGACAGTTTCTATGATAACAAAGATTATTATTATTCAGAATTAGCACTGARGTCATTGCCATCATCATTGTCATCATCATCATCATTGATCATCATACTCATGATGGTTTATTACCTGATGGTTTCTTGTGTGTGCTTTGCCCTCAGTGTATTTCAGGATCAGCTCATGTTTGCTTTTATTGCTGGAATGAATTGAAATGTGAGCTAAAATTATGGAGTACATCAATCAAAAAATATATACTAGCTTACTTGACATATGTGCCTTCAGAAAAGGTGATTTCACTTTGTTGTTTYGAAGGATGCTCACTTGGACTCTAAATTGTATCAGATACAAAGTATTGAATTAACTATTTGAATGGATAAATTACATTGATTGATTGATTGATATATAAACAAATATAAACAAATGCTTGGGTAAACAAATTCAATTGTTATAAATTCCAGTGACGCATGCATGGATAAATTATAGTAATCATAAATAGTATCTTTCAAGGCCGTGTGAAAAGAAAGTAACATTAAAAACATACTATGTCTTAAAAATACATCATTACAACTAATCTACAGCAAACAATATCASTCTTTGATTCGATTTAGAGCCAAAAACATCTAATTACTGATTTTATATTCATATTTGTCGAATATAACTCCTGTGTACTATTTAGGTCTATTTGACAAGTACATAACTTACATTAAAAAGACTGCGTATCCTTTTAAAGTGCACACTTGGTTTTTCTACTTTATCCATGTCAAAATTATGTCAAATAATGTGGAGAAGTGGATGCCAGACAGTACTTGTTACTGCATCAATCATGAGTGAGTGGTATGTCAATGTATCAATTTTTTGTGCTCATACAAGATTAAACACTTGAAAGAATACTTAATAGACTGGCTCCTTCTTGGAGGAATATTTGGAAAATGACTGAACAACAGAAGTGTTTCATTACAATTAGTCTTTCAGAAACAACATCTAACATGATGGCTTATGATAAACTGGTTTATATGTCAAATTTTTGAATTTATCACCAAAAKTTTTAAGTAAAACCACATGAAGTCATAACTGTGGTTTCTTCTGTGGACATTATTCAATGTGATAAATCTATGCAGTTTACAAAAACTTATTTGAGAAGCTTTTTTTACTAATATATATTTCAAGTTATGGGTTTTGCTAAGGATGTAGTATTTTTAATGACATTATCTTAAACATTTTTGACAGAGGTCTATTGTCATGGTTTGATTAACAACACATAATTTTCACTATTTCTACATTATTTATAGAGCACATGCATCATATCTTTGGCCTTTGCCATGGAAACCATACACAAAAACTAATACCATTAAAGCACTGTCTGGCACGTCAAGAAAAACCACACTTTTAGTTCACAACCTAATATGTCAAGGCTGTGTGATTATAGAATGATATTTCAAGTTTTTTGTGCTACATTAAATGTTTAGTGAATGGCTGGTGTTGTTTGATAAATGGCTGGCATTCAGACTTGTGTTATTAGCAAACAAAGATTAACTTCTTGACTAGAAAACAAAGGACATTGATAATAAGCCGGCAATTAATCCTTCTGACGAGACTCGTGTCCGATATTTTAATTACATACCAATGTATTTTTTCTAGTTTTGGTATATTGGCACACTATTTTTGAAGCAGCTAAAATTTATTCAACAAAAGCACTCAAAATGTCAAAAAGTAAAAGAATAACACTAAATATTCAACATGGGAAAATAATCTTTATCTGGTTTCATGAAAGCTGTCTATTAAGAAAGAAAATATCATCACTGTTCACGCTGAAGATTTGGGAAAACTTAAAGGTGGTCGAGCGCAGTTTCCGCTTGCAGGTGTAATGTACATGAATCAATTAACGTCAAGTACTTGTTTGCAGCAATTAAACTCTGTCTTTAAAAGCTGAGKGGTAAAAAGACGACAAGAAAGAAAACGTTTGCTCTACTCAAGCACATTTTAATTTTGTTTTGGAAATTTCACAGCTGGATATCAAAGATCAAGCGAAACGCACACAATAATCATTCAAGTTAACTTCGAGAAAAACCATTAAAATTTTTAAGCTTCATTGATTTTCTATCTCAAAATATAATTAAATTATCTACGGCTCAATCATTGGTTAAAACTCTCTTTAMACGAATGGCTGACAAATACATCGAAAATCCATATGAAGCCAAAACACACGAAAAGAACAGAACGCTCAGTTAGATAGAAGATAACTACTCGTTCAACAAAACGATCAACACTATACTACAATGTATTGACCTTTGGCTCTTCTTGTGTTTATGACGGCATGCAACGGTGGACAAAAAATACAATCTACTACATTACCTGTGGCTGTTTAACATGTTGTTTAGATTTGAAAGGTTTTAGAACTGGCAGAACGCTTTTCTTTTCTTTGCTTTTGTCGATTTTTCCATGTGAGTTTCTAGTAAAAGACGACAAATGTCAAATATTGACAAATTGACTTGTAAGTAAACTTTACAATGGGCAAACACTGTTATGATTATCAGTCAAGAGAATAGAGCTATACTTACTTCCTTTCTGAAGGAGGTGCACTCATTTTATGTCTTGTCATATCATTTCTGGTAAGGGAGAGATTTTTACAAGACTTTCCACAACAAAACTACCGGGGAACTAGCAATTTTGTAAACTTGTGTATGTCGGACAGAACTACCGGCAAAATTTATCCAGGAAGCGTGTTTTGTTCTTGAAGGTGTTACAGATCAATTCAGAKTATCTTGTGGAACATCTTGGTTTGTTTCCTACGTCATTTTAAGACGTTAAAAGAGCTGGAAAATCCTCGTAAATTCCGGCATRTTGTGTCAGCTAAAATCGACATGAAAACCCGTGCAGCTTTGGCGCGATTGCTTGCCGTTGTCAAGCAATACACACAGCAACCAATCAGATTGCAGCATTCTGACCCTAGATAATTATTAGCTCAAAAGGCTTAAAACAGATTATTGATTGTTTTAATTTCCAATTGTATTTTCTTATTAACAATGCTTGTATGATATTTCGCTTTAGTTGAGCAAGACAAATAAGTCTATTGAAAGCATTTTGCCTCTATAGACATTTGAAGAATACGCTCTCGTTCTAACTCGCGATTTGATTGGTCCATTAGTGTATTTTGTGATTTTCCAGGTGGCCACGTACTGCATTGCTCATTTTGGAGTAGAAAATATAAATGCACAGCAGAACAAGATGGTTAACAGATTTTATTTCAAATTATCATAAAATATACAAATAAGCTGTTGTCATTATGTAAATTATTACTTAAAAAAGGATTTCTGTTACTCTCAGCAGAGCAAAAACGGCAAAGAACAATGTAACATACATCTACGGGATTGTCTATCTACGGCGTTTTTGATTTACAGTGGTTTTTTGTCATGCAGAAACGTCAGTTGTGAAGAGTACAACATTTCCGCGATAAATGCATATAAGAAGATTAGCTCGATACCCWCTCACTTTTTGCAGAATAATGTCAATCTATTACCTGTGCTTAGACAGAAATCAGTTTTCAAGCCAGTCTTAGTCATTAAATTCTGATTTTTTGTAGCTTTGACAAGTTGTGACGTAGTTKTGCGTTTTATGAGCGGTCTGAGTGGACACTATTRCTATGGTCCTTGAGTTCTTCATGCTTCAGCTACAAACAATAAACAATCGTACGTTAGGCAAGTTGGGGCACAGGGATCCCAGATTTACAGTACACAGATATCAAGTTGTCATACCTGATGCCACTTTCTGCAGCAACAACACATCAATCCATGAATCAAAGAAAGAAATGCAACGAGAAGCTCTGCAATTCCTAACCCCAAAATAACAGCTGTAACTCCCTTGGCTCTGTCTTGGTTTTGATGTTTAAATTCAGGTTGGTCGTCCCATTTATACCAACTAAAGTCACCAATTTGCTTGCCGTAANACCGCACCGGCACCCATGATCTGATTGGTGGAAAACATAATGAAATAAATCACATTATCCAAATCGTCCTTTTTCAGCTCTTTTTGGTATCTAATCATCGGCCGCTACTCATTTAGATAAGATTATGATGTTGATGATAACAAGGCAAGTATTAGCTGTCAAGGTAGCGCTCAAGAATATTGATTTTTTATGAAATATCGTATTTATTGGGACTGAATGGGCCGGGTTTCACGAAAGGATAGCACAATACTTATATAGTTATAAGGAAAAAGGGCTTTATCCTTATTTTTTAGTGAGAGTATCAGTCTCCCTTCCAAAAGAGAGAGCGATTGTCATCCTATTATTCTTTTAATCGGTCTCACTAACGAATGTTCTGGTTGGGATATTTTATCGACGTAATGAGAATCGGCATCGATCCGTGATCTATCGATAAGAACGTCGAACATCTACTCAGAATAAGAACAATTTCGTTTTATATTAATGATGATAATGATTTATGAAATAGATAACTGAGACACGTTGTGATGTTGATTTGATAGAAAATGTAAAGCTGAATTAAAATATTAAATGTATAGACTGATATTTTGAATATATACTGCACATACTTTCTTACGCATATCATATGTACTTGGATCTTTCTTGGGTATGATTAACTTTCTTCAGTGCATTCATTATAGCGCAACTAACTTGATTCAGTGTTACCCAGTCTCATTTTTTGGTACCCGCACTGGAAAAAATCGCGCGCTTTAAAGGTTGTAAATTTGATGTAAATATGATGTAAGTGTCCAAAATTCTTGATTTCCATTAAAATTACAGTTTTCCAGTGTGATTTGTTGTGGTTACTCTTCGTGAGTACAAATTGATTATAGACTGAACTGGTATATAATAACTCAAATTAAATACCTATATGATTATATGATGGAATTAAAATGTAAAAGTAGATTTCCTACCAGTACACCACACCATATCCCTATTAACATGATGCTTGTCCAATGATGGACTTGAATCCGTGCAATAATACCAAAGATGATTAAGAGTCCACCAAAGGCAGCGCTCAAGCAGCCTAACACTTTAGCAGGTGTATTAAAAGAATATCGACTCCTAATACCCATATTATTGCCTGAACGTCTTCACAGAAAACGTATATATGTTTGCAGTGTATTCCTTGAGAAAGTTTGTCGTCTAACTATAAAAAGGTTCTTGTTGGTTCTCGAGGCCAATATCTTTAGACAGCAATATATCTTGTTGACGTATTGTATCCTAATATGACTTTKAATGGTATGAACTGACATTCCTCATCGCTAAAACAAGCAGCCATGCAGAACACTCTGGATCATACTACAACATACCCTAAGATATTAAATCATGCAGTGACGATGACGATACTGTCGGTATGCACATAATATTATATATCTATCATATATTACCATGCAAACTTCATATGAGTCCCGTAGTATTAACCACGAAACGTTGTGGTACCTTTACCTTACAAGATAAAGCTCTACAAAACATCGTCCGAAACTCTAAATAGATGCGTCTCATTAACTTCATCGATGCAAACATACTCACCCACCCTTACTAAGTAGTAATTTCACACCCCTACCCTRTATGKTCMGTCAGATTGTCWGGRAGGTAAGATGTATTTGAGTCACATCATCGACATTAGGTCAACAATAAAACCRTTTTGATTCATTTCTGACGTTTTWAGTTGTCATCACTAAAGGCAGCGACGCACGCRAATCGCAGGTGTTTCTCACCATKTTTGACGATCTTAATGGGAAGGGAAGGGGTTACTATCCCCATCTTTCTGCCTCTGTCTATAACTAAGACAATGTACAATTTAACGCAAGCGAACCATAAGTTCCAAGTTGTCAATCAGTGATCGTGTCAATCAAACATACTGATCGATTTATCATTATTACATTATCATCTTAGCTATATCATTTTGAGAATCGCCGTTGATTATTGCAATCTGATTGGCTAAAATACTCAGCTGAATTGCCGTACGTAGTATTACTAACTCAAACTAAGTTGACCTCAATTTAAAACTCTTTTYAAAATCTATTGTTTGTGAGAGGACTGAAAAGAGTGCTAATATAGATAGCAAATATTTACTGTCGCTGTTTGTTTTTACAGTCAATATACGCTTATTTTTGCATTCGTATCCGCCAATCAGATCGCACATTGGATATATATATATATATATACCCAGAAGCCCCTTTAAACTAGTCGAGTTCATCATAAACAAAGACATAGTGGTAGTACTTCAGAGATAACATGAATCTGTTGGCAAWACAAAGCGTCTAAGATCACTACATCTGTTGCTTGCAGAGCTGAATTGTTTCTTATGTTTTTGTAAAGAGTGGACTCTAGTATTAACATGTATACACAAGGTTTAGACKGGTTGTAAACACTTTGAAGACAAATATTATTGTGATTGTCTATCGTCACGACTTAATTCCACCAATCAACAGTCTCTACTTCATTAAATAACTCCAGGGGTATATCAACATTAGTGTAGATTCCAGGCTGTTCTGTTGACTAGAAATGGCTTACATCGAACGTGGTGGGGTAAGGCAAGTAATAACTGCTAGTGTTGGAGCATTCAGGGTACGAATAGCAGAACTCCAAAAGGAGTTAAAAGAATGCGAAGAGGAAAGGGAGAAATTTCTCCAAGGYATCAAAGCAGCAAGGAAACGAACTTACTTATCAAAGCAAAGCAGCTCAGCTCTTCGACTTCGCATGGAAGATGTGACTGTAAAGATCGACAGAACTGAGAGGAATTTAGAAAACGCTAAAGATAGATTGTACAGAGCAAACCGTAAAACCCAGGACAATATCGAAGTATTGAAATCTCTGGAAAAACCTCAGCCAGACCTTGAAGAACTCGCTGAGACTATCCACAAAGCTAACAAGTTCGCAGCTTTAATGAGATCCAAGAAAGCTGGCGCAGCGAAGAAAATAGAAGAATTAGAGGACAAGATACAACGWGCAGAACGTCGTTTTCAGAAAGCAGATGATTTTATTTATACAATTCAACAAAAGATGGCCACTCACAGACGTCTCATGGACAACCCTGTAGTGTCAACGAACTATAAACCCATGAAACAAGACGAATACGCTGAGAAAGTTAGTGCGCTTAAAGAAAAAATACGTCTTGCTGCTGCACGAACAAGAAAAGCTACAAATGCCGCTGCTCACTTGGACAAACGTCTTGAGATAATGGAGAACGCTATGGACAACTACGACAGGAGGATAAGTGATTTTCAACAAAGCAAACGAGAGATAATGGGATCCAAGTAACGGATGTGCAATGACCCTTGTAAGGCACACGAACCCTCAAGTACGCGTCTGGAGTTGAAATATGTTGTTGTTTTCTCCTCATAAATCCAGTATTTGTACACTCTAGATACATTTGATGATTACCATTGTATGTCTTTAATATAGTACTGGTAATGGATGTTATATGTGTAATATAGCAAACAGGATCTCATAACAGCGTTACTCTTTGTATCTGGTGATGAAAGTCTTCTCACCTCATAAAAACACGTACACTAAATGGGAYATTTGATGAAATACCACTCACTTTACTGAATATGATGTTATAATAACAAGTGATAAAAATATCCTGATATATTATTACAGAACAACACGGTTGATATTTAAAGATATGCAGTTTACTTCTTCATATCCTGGCATGACATCAATTGTCTCTCGTTATTGAACTATGGGGGGTAGTAGAGGTAACGAAATTGGCATTTTCTCTTTATATTAATTTTTTTGTCCTTTTTCTTATTTCACTATTTTCTAATGTTTCTAATACAAGTGAAGAGGTTCCGTGAAACTATACGACACAGTGCGTTTTGACTCGTTTAAAACGTGTACATTTATTTTTAACATTTCTTYATCAAATTGACAACCTTTATTTGGCATTGTTGCGCAACTAATCGCCCTTTAGGTGTGATATACATTACAATCGTCACTAGCTTTATCTCGATATAATAGTTAGTTTAAGKTTTTTTACCAAATTAAATCTTTAGTGGTTCTTTAAATAAAATGTATCTTATATAAGCTTTGCTTTGCAAGAAGGCGGGGACATGCTGATTTCATGGCGTTGTGTGTGGGTCTTTACCTCAATAAAACCCTTTAAAGATCTTGGAACGTTAGATGACAGAACCAAMAGTTCTTGATAKATGCGGCCAAGACAGCATTCTTTTACTACTCGTTCAAGACATCGAATCTCTTGTAGATAACGTACAGTTCTACAGCTTTGCTTCATAGAAGACTGACACCATTGGCAAACGGATGAGATGCAATGTAATGCGTTTTCAATGCGTTTTTCTGGTAGAACGCTTTATCACAGAACTGACAGTTAAATGGTTTCTTTGTGGCATGGGTTCGTTTGTGAGTATTCAGAGTAGATGCCAATGTAAAWCCCTTGCCGCAGATGTCACACTTGAAGGGACGTTCTCCTGTATGCCCATATATGTGGGCCTGCAAATTCCCCTTCTGATTGAAGCCCTTTCCGCAGTATTCGCATTTATAGAGCCTTTCGTCTGAGTGTGTTCTCATATGGTATGTTAGATGTGTTAGTTGTTTAAACCCTCGGCCACACTTGGTGCACTTGTGTGGTTTCTCTCCAGTGTGGGTGTAACGATGAATCTTCATGTCGATCTTTTGATGAAATCCTTTACCACAAAAATCACATACAAATGGCTTGTAGTTAGTGTGCGTGCGCATGTGCGTATGGAGGTTGGACGCACGATTGAAGGCCTTATTACATTGCGGGCACACGTAGGGTTTAATGGCGGTGTGTGTAAGTCGATGTCGTGTTAGGTTACCGGGTTGTCTGAAGGCTCGGCCACACTGTTCACAATGAAATGGCTTTGCTCCTGTGTGAATACGTTTATGCGTTGTCAGTGTATTGGATCGACTGAACGACTTGCCGCAAACATCACATGTGTATCTATACTTCTTAGCTGTTGACTGCTGTGCTTTACTCTCTCCATCCCCCTGCRTACTGGAAGGCTGGGCTGCTTCGTTCATTGCTTTGTGCTGGGTACCCTGTGTAGAGTCAGGAGTCACTGTTTCTGTATTAGTTGGTTCCACTTTTACGTCGCGTTTCTTGTCATCGTTAGAATCTTTATGGCTGTAGCTGCTGACAACACTATCAGACATCGCGGGCATATAGTACTTGGACATTAAAGCCACGTGATTGTAAACACTGTCTTTGGTGCCATAGCAACTGATATTACCGTATAAGGCATTTGGGTATCTGYCYACGATTGGCTCGTGATACATCACGTGGTATGGAGCGTAAGGAAAGGTTTTCTTATCGATGGTTTGTGGATGAAATATAAATGGCAAGTCGTGTCTTGAGTCTTTGTAATCATGATAGCTATCAGCACAMGTCCATGGACGTGACATCGAGTAAAACTCACTTTTCCCTCTGGTACCTTGGTAATCCTCTCTTGGGGGTCTTGGGATAAGTTTAGGAACCGGTCGAATTTCCATGGAAACCTCTGATGACTTGGATGATGATCGCGGGCTCACTTTTAAAAGTGGAGGAGGGARACTTGGGATAGGTCGATCTGTTGAAAAGAGCAAKAACTAATTAAAGCCATTTCCCAGACAGTGTTTGCAATACCCCTTGCTGAGGCCCTTACTGGCCTTTATACCTCAAAAATAATTACGTGCAACAAATGAAGAAATGTCTATCGAAACAACAATACAGCATTTCTCGTGTAAGTTATGAAGCAGCGTTGTGGCATGGAAAGCCTTGCAGATTATAATCATTATAATTGTCTAATGTTGGAAATTCAGACGACCTGTCTGCGCAACAATTACGTATTGTTTTCCGAAGCCCAACGAAGTGAAGACGAATTAGACTGGATTATAATAACCGTTTTACCAACAGATTTAACTTCACTAAACCACAATTGCGTAATCATAGAGCATCGTAAGAATAGACTTGTATTTGATTAAAAACCCTTCAAATTGTCATATTCTCAAATGTGGTAAGAACGATATTGGCGTGACATTGTCCTAATTACTTTGYTCGTCAGCCGTTAAACATTTCAACTTCAAACTTATTAAAACTGACTTTCTTCTGTCAGGTGTTTGATTCTGTTGTATTTTACTATATCGAAACTATATTCTTTTGTATTAAGCTGGTACTAGTCTTTCATTTCGTTTCTTTCTTTCTTTACGCCGTTATAATGAGCTGAATTTCTACAACTGTTGAAACGTTTTTAATTTCTGTTGATCAATTTTGTTTTAATGATTGTCGCTGGTCAAGAAGTGATTTTTAAAGCGGCCCCCACGCTATCATACTTATCGTCACAACTGGTAGCTATGACAATGGTGAAACCCTTTAACAGTCAAACACAAATAACCTAGATAAGTAAAATAATTGCATTGAAAGTCTCTACTATGTTTGCCGTCTAAGAACCACTCATTGAATAATTATGTTATATCAACAATCGCAGGACACCTTTTGGTAATGACTTAATATAAACGAAAACCTGCGCAAAAATAGAGACGGAATAGCAACAATAACCTTAACTGGCACCGTGATATTACAAGAGAGGAAAACTATACCTTCTCAACATTCACGAGCATATATCGATTAATAAGTCAATTGTACTGGGTTTTTTGTGCGGGTATTTATATATCGATGATCCCCATGCGCGCATTAAGGATTTAGAGTTCCTCAAGGTACACTGCGCCTTGGAACAAATATAACATGTTGGAAATGCGGCAAGCAAGAACACTATAAATGCAAGACAGCATCAGTCAGTGCGTTAACTAAATCATTCATTAGTAAATTGCTCAAGTGTTTGGATGAGTGGTAACTATGGTAGTGGAAAATCGGAAAATAGAAAAACAGAATAAGTCGAAAATTGAAAGAGCTGCTGAAAATTCTCATTTATTTTTGAATGATTTCCCTATAACAATCATTTCCTGCTTCAGTAATGATATCATTGTTAGTTTAGATGATTTGTGCCATACAAAGAACAAGACCTCTATAATTGTATGATACTGACAAGGGGTGCTGATCCGCAGCCTGGTTGATCCCCTTCTGTTTCAAAGCAACTTTCAAAATGCGGCTTCCTTTATCTACAAAACTACTGCTATTCGTAGCATGAATTAAAACCTTGTTCTTATGACAAAAAAGGTGCCGTGACTTAGAAGATGAACACGTTTCTATGGCTTCACATATACCATGGATAGTATGTCTATCCAAGTGTTATATAATCACTAGTCTACGTGTGTTATATATATTATTCATTCAGACAATAGACTGTCCTCTCTAGCTCTCTGTTGTCTACTATACTTTAGGAACGTGTATTCTTGGTTAGAAAAGTTCGTATAAGCAAAATAGTCTTAGACGAAATGAATCACGATTAAAGAACATGCCACGCCTTCAAGTAGTCTTCAATATTTACAAAGAGGTGTTGGTCATAGGTTCAATTATCCCGTGAAACCAAAAGTGCGTGTTTAATACTGATCGTGTAATGACAAAGTGTAAAGACAAATACAAAAAAAGCATGTAAAAGTATGCAAATAAGCCCGATAGATGCAGCACTGATTGCAACAAGTTATCGTAGTTTTTTTGAGATTTCTAGTGTCGTGTAAGATCGAGCATTGTGACGACAGGAAAGTTATCAATCAAATGGAAAATGAGCAATCACAAGTTTACCTCTTTTGTGAGACATATTGTCCACGGTTGACTCTTTTGAAAAGAACTGTTCACCGTTTTCACAAAAATCAAAGAAACCCACAATAGCAAGGACACTCTTTCCTGTGATGATTGGCCTTACTAGGGCATCTTTGTAACGGAATTAGCCAAGCACTTGATGTGTTAGTTAAGAGTATTCATCAATAATGAATGGTATTAATACCATACCTACAGGATGACTACCTATATGAGATGAAATATTCAAACATTTTCTTATTATCCAGCGATTATATCTCACAGTAAAAGCAACATCTTAAAAGGGCATGAGATACACATCGATCAACATGTCATATATGACGTTAAACAACCAAACAATGTGGACATTGAGGATCAAAATGACGACGAAACACCGTCGTTCTTGACGGAAACCTTTATTATTATTTTTCTTCTTCTCTTTTATTAAATTGMACAACGTGGTAATGTCATGATAAATACGTATCCCATCTTGATATGGACAAAGGAGACGTGTGTTAAGTGCTTTAGACATTTTGTCTTCGTAGTATTCTGTCTTAATTTGTTAAACGAGGAAGCGCGCGACGAGTAATACATTGATGATCTTCCTACATTTTTCAAACCTTGCATAACAATCATATTTCCACCAAAACTGACTCTAAAAACCTTGACGAGGCTCGAAATTTAGCTTGAAATAACGTTCTTTAGTTAACTGATTCGGCGAATGGTCTTTCACAGCCCCACCCCTTTATTTGTTAGAAACGAAAAGTTTTGATTTGAAAGTCGTCTATAAAAGAAAACAAAGAGTAGCAAAATTGTGACGTTCGGTTCCGACAATGTCGCTCTCAAACGACAATGAAAATGGTTTTTTAACGTCTCTTCATACAGATTGCTATCAACAGTCTTATTAATTAATAATTAGTGATTCAGCAAAGCTTATTTAAGGATTACAAATCTCTTTATAGCTATGCGGTATTATAGCTTATCTCGGTGATCTCTCGTCTGTTCTATTATGGGAATGAAATATTCAAGGGATTATCCTTGATTTAAGGGCATTTTACTGATTTAAACCCATTATGCGTTACCAAAGGAAGTCGTTAGAGTTGAATGGTTTACAAAAGGGAGGGCAAAATGTTGAGTTTAGAGAGGCAAAAAGCGTGCAAAAAGCAAATCAAAGGAGAAAATCTCATCATCTCGTGTTGTTTGCTTTGTGCTTGGATAATGACTTGTGAACTGATAATGATACACCGGGATGCTGAAATTATTCCATTTTATTATCAACAAACCCAATATTGTAGTATTCACGTGATTCATTCGTGAAACTGATTCAAACTAATAAAAACCTGTATCCAAACAAAACATGGAAAACGACAGCAAGTGTAAACTTTCACATTTAATTTTCACTATTCGGGGTAATTTCTTTAATTTGATGGGTGAAAAAAGGAAATTCAATTGATGACTACACTCGTTACTAGTGTCTGATACTTGCAAGTCTTAATTGGATTAATAATWTGAAAAACAACTCATAAAAAGGCATGGTTTTCATCGAAAACTGATCATTTAGTTTGATCAAGTGATTTAAACTTGGCTATAATATTGCGGTACTATCAAGATAACCAATGTTGAGAAAAAAGAGTGTTTCCCGTTAATTTAGAAAAGGAACATTGTTTCAATCTAGTGAACCATGAACACGAACATCGTATCATCACATTTAGACAAAAAAAGGTTTGTATGCAAACGACACAAAAAGAACATTGTATCAATCTAAGATAATAAAAAAATACATCATATCAATAAAACATGTCAAAAACATTGCATTAATATAACATACAATAGAACGAAGCAAAACGAACATAATATCACTGAAACACACTRGAGATAAAGTAGAAAGGAAGACTTGATCAATAATAGTGGCCATCAAACAACTTCGAGGTCAGCAGTGCCTTTTTCTTAAGCAAACAAATGAAATCGTGATTTTAGCAACATGAAAGAGTACCTTGRCGAGTTAGTTTGATGGAGTGATCCTCTTCTTGTTCTGCATCAGTCGTCTTTGCCTCGTGCTGTTTCACCAAAAATGATCGAGGCATAGTGCAAATCTCGGTTACCTAGAAAAATATAAAAAGACGGTCTATTGAAACAAATATTAGAACAAAGACTAAATAGAASAGTTAGAGAGTGTTTTCAAGGCTTACAGAAGTCTTAAAGCTTAAGTGTGAGCTGTTGCTGGTAGTAGTGACCGAATGTCCGTGCATTATTAGATATATAATAACTAGGACGTTCCCATATTGTGGAGTAACGTTATAATTCTGCTGTGTTCCTATTGGCTCAAATCACCGTTAGTATTTATATATCGCTCTGTAACCAATAATTGTTAATTCATCAAACACACCACACACCAATCCATAATTAGCAAGTTTTAAGATTTTCCTTTTATGATGACCGCTTGAAAGCAACCAATCATCGCTCTAATTAAAGGACAACACCTCGTTCTTTCAACCCGTACTTGGTCTCCTAGATACCATCATTGCAGTTATTCGTCTGCGCTTTCATCACTACAATTTCTTTGTGCTTTTTGTTTCTGGATGGACTTTGATTTGTGTGTGTTTAATTCAAATTCGAAATGATAGCATGTGAAGATCGCATGATTTGCGTAGGATAAAGACAACGATCCATTCTGAATGCAATCAAAAAAACAACGGTTTTTTTAATTTCTAGTCACAATGGCTTGTACTGCTGAACGTTTCGTGTTTAAACAGTTTTTTTCAATTTATTGTATCGAAAACACATTTGACATTGTTCTAAGACAAAGACTTTGGTCAGCTAGAAGTTTTAGATTTAATTGTACATCTTTGATGGTTTCCTTCACGTGCGGTAACAACGATACTTGATTAGTTTAAATCAGGTCAGTTTGTAGAAGAAAACATCAAGTGATTCCGGTTTAAAATAGTACGATCTTTGTGATATTGGAGATGAGCAGAATTGAATAAAAAAGAGATATGTCCGTAATATAACGTCTTTGTTTGTCGGTATGTCAAAAGGCTTGCGGATCGGTTCTGCGACGTGTGAGAACAGATCTTTGTCACATCAAACTGTACAACTTTCTTTGAATGATCCTTATAGGTTTCTAGGGAAAGCCTTCTAGAACAACTGATCATTTTGTGATCAAGGCTTCGTTTCTTTGTTTTATTGACACTAACTGTTTAACCGATAAAACAAAGGCTCAGATTCAATTTGATTCATCGAGAATTTTTTTGTTTTTTCGATTTGTACCTTAAACTGGTTTAGTTTTGTTCATTGGACTATTATCAAACATGACCGTTGAATGATTACCATTTTACTGCCGTGAAATAAGATTTTTTACGTGATTCATCAAAAACCATGAAGTGGCTTTGTTCCAAAAGCTGATCAAAAGATTTATGACGGAATTAATACAATTATATTTTACCTTGAATTATTGGTAACGTTTTCAAGTCTTTCTGACCCAATTACCTCTTATTTCGTGATTCCTAATAAAGTTTGTTTTTAAGCAAAAGGGCTTGATTAAAAAGAAATAAGTGAGAAGATCGACAATTGTTTCAATTCATTGAGTAGTTTTTGATTGGTGCAAATCCCAGGTGAAATCATAGGWCTATCCTATACTTTCTGCGCTCTGAATGTACAGTTATTTCAGCTGCAAGAAACCTTTTAAATCCAATACGCTACAGATACGTTGAAGACTTTTTTGCTATTTGTTTATTCGTATTCAATTCATTTATGTCTTATGTATTGTTCACGTTATAGACAGTTAAACCAAGCTGAGAATACTGTTAAATACTATTATTAAAAGCATTGCATGGATACTGTTCATTAAAAACCCTTTTTTCAGTCCGCATGGTCTTTTGATCGTATTACATGCTGTTTATTTGGAAATGGTCTTTCAGTTGCCAATTTGTAGACATATATTTCATGATATGCAGAGTTCCTGACAAATGATTACAAATAGCTTGGTAGAATTTGAAGTTGTTTCTATAGGACAATTTTGAACTTATCTTATACTCTTTAAGTTTTCATTCAACTCTCCAGCTCCAAAATCAAATTTCTATTTTTTTTTTCTTTTGTGCCGTACATATTTTCCTTCTGTTGAATGGTTTTATTTCTTAAAATTAATGAAACATTTCCAGCTTGTTCAGTTTGTGTCATTGTTAGTCAAATAATTGCAAGATTCCTGTGACTGCTACTCGAATGTGATGAGCAGATTTAAAACATCCTATTTTTATTTATCCTTAATACAATGTTTACACCAAAATCAATGCAACAGTTCGGTGAATTCCATCTCTTCAAACATTTAGATGTTATCAATCAAATATATGGCTTATTAATGATCAGAACTAAAGACATGAGAATCAATCGTCTAAGTATTAATTCCTTGATGGAAATAGAAAAAAAAACGGATGGATAAGTAAACGTATCAATTTATGCTGGGAATAAAATGATATCAAATTCAGTGTTTGCTTCGAAGGATGGTGTGTGTGGTGGCAGACTACGACTAAGAGCTGTAAAAGCTTAGTTCGTGACAAACAAGTCGCTTGTCGTCAACAAATAAAGTTTGCTTGTGAATGTAACTTGTTGCTTTACTGGCTGGAATTCACATTTCTGGGTGAAGAATAGCTAAATAATGATAAAAATACAACAATGGTATAGATGTAAGCAAAGGTATAATTTCTTCTGCATGTATATGTCATGTTAGTGCGCAGCTATACATTGTTGTATGTTATATAGAATACTACATTACCTTCAACTGAAAGTTAAAACAAACATCTCAAGTATAGATAAAGCAGATTGTGGACCTTGTTTCATATCACATAGCATATCTCTGGATTAGTTAGTATTTTAGTCGATGGAACTGATCATAGTTAATTATGTGACACGCAATATCTATGTCTCGCGGTGAGAGATTCACCAAAATTGTCGAATCATCAGAAATAAAAGTCGAAATTCTACTTGAAAAAAATTCACGTCGCAAATAACACAACGAGATAAATATTAGCAATCTTTTCATAAGCTTGTATTACTGACTATATAGCTAAAAGTGTTTTCTGTTTTTTTGTCAAACTGGGCGTGCTAATGATATATACGAAGAATAGAGAAGGGACAGGACAAGACACGTATCTCAGCAAAACCAGCTGCAATTATACTAGTACTTCTCAAAAATAGCTTTTATGATTTCACGTTTTTGACAACTAACTAATTCTTAATGCAAAATAAATTCATTTGAAATAACAGAAAGTTTAACAAAAGTAGTGAGTACGTTTGTCTATTGCCGGAACATTGTGAACTAAGAACAGACTAAAGTTCATTGTTATTCATCTTAACGGCTAACATTACTTATAGAGAGTTTAAAACTAAGTTTAACAACTTTTTTATGCTACCTTTTCTCTGCTGTAGCGACCAGCCATCATTAGGGATGTGCTCGAAGTCTCTTCTATCTCATTATTAAATAAAGGTTTTGCTTTTCAAGTATTCTATGAAGTTGAGGGGGGCACTCTTGGGTGGTCGTCCTCATATAGACTATTCTTAATCTGTTCTTTTAGCCAATCAAATTGTAAAGCTTACATCTAAAGTTCCAGCATCTTTATTTTATGACCTTTTATAGCTTTCATAAGATTTTGTGAGTTAAAGTGAAGTCAGAATTAAATTTAATTTGGATTTTGCATTGACAATCATTTAGAAGTRATTTGCTTTGGCATTGCTAATGAACTTGAACAATGTAAAAACTAATTTGGAACTACTGTAAGAGTGATAAAAACAACTCCACAACGAAATAAAAGAAGACTTTTATTCTACTYCAAACCATTGTTTATGTGGAGTCAAAGGATGCCTTCATGAGCTTGTTCATTAATAACAACATATCAAATAAGGATCAACAAATCGTCTTTGTGTTTTTGATAGCATGTGGGAACGATGGTTAACAAAGTCCCCACCTCCTATTGGGTACCCCCCTTGGTTGTCGCTACATGCAGTGACATTATTTGTGTGTTAGCCAATCAGATGTACGTGTATATAATCTAGTTTATAGATGAGTCATGTGTTTGTTTTTGTCTATGAGATTACAGGGTTAAGTTCATAAAGGGTAACATTATTTATTAATGGTGGTATGTAGGGGCTCTGTCACTTTTGGTTTATATTTAAATCTTGCTGAACTAAACACATTTTGACAAACATTCAACAACTCGTTGACTTCAGCATGTAACTTAGTTCTTACAGAAAATGAATAATGGATCAAGAAACTGCTAAAACTTTTACAAGGAAATAAGAAATTAGTTGTTTTACTTAATAAGCGTTAGCCCTAGGGCTAAAAGGTATAAAAAAGAGAGAGGGAGCGAAAGATAGAGAGAATATAAAACTTGAAAATACTTGTTTAAAGCCGAATGATATTGGGTAAGCTTTCCGGCATGCATATTATTTCCATTGGAAGATCTTTACTTTCAGTTGTCGCTATGTTATTTGTCCCTCAAACTCACAATAAAAAAACAATACAAATTGAATATTCTGGAAGTCTTTGAAATGAAAATTGAAGTAGTAAAAATCTTTTGTGTTAAAAAATTGTAAATAAATAAATTGGATTCACGCAACTCAAAAATTTTACAAAAGCCTGGCAGACTGTCCGACACAGCTGGTACTTTTCTTTCCATTGAATCGAAAACATGCCATTCGCCTAAAAATGGCGAGAAAATCCGCAAGTTTAACCGACTAAAATTGAWGTATGGATAGGTGAGCATGGCAATCATCTTATTAGAGCTGAATTAAACCGAAACTAGACACAAAAGTAAATGAAGGAAACAGAAAATGAACACTTTTTCAGTTTTGATGCCATCAAGTGTAGGCTTGGACCGCGATTTATGGTATTTAGAACATCATACAAGATAAGTTGCTGCCATCACATGACTATATAAGGTTGGGTTCAGACTGTCCATAAAAAACGCATAGACGGATTACCCACAGTTCTTAGCAGGTTACTGCTGACTGAATTAGGCTYACGCGCAATTCCAAATCCAACTATCGAGACTCCAAAGTGCTTACAACAGTGCCGGATCCAGGATTTTTCAAAGGGGGGTTCCTCTTTCAGTTTCGCATATTCCTAAAACGAAACCTTTTTACTGTGCCTCTCAAACTGTAGCAAATGTAGCGTGAATGTATTTAATGAAAATTCATTGTACGATGTGTTTTCATTTTATTTCATTTATCATTTATTTTACTTTTTTTATTTTTTTATGCTTGAGGGGGGTTCTTAGGAACCCGTGGAACCCCCCTGGATCCGCCACTGTACAATGAAATCTTATCAGGCTGTAGATTCCTTTACGGAAATGTGGTATGTGTGTACGTAAATGAAAGGGCAAAAATGAGTGTGAAGCGCGCTAGCCCTTCCTTGAAGTTTTAATTTTGAAAAATTGACGAAATGTTACGAGTTTTCGGGTTCGATGTTCAACGGAACTCCCAATTTCAACTAAAGTAGTAGCACTATATATAGTTTATTTGTAGTAGAAGGTTGACCAAGGAAGGTAGTACAATTTACATTCGACTAACGGCGGGAACACTTTGTCCGTTGGGTTAGACTACTTTATGGGATGGTGCGCATGTCTTAAATATCCCCCATACGCTCCATGGTGCGCATGTCTTAAATGTCCCCCATACGCTCCTCTGTATCGAAAATCCAAGTTAAATCAGCATGAGCTGGATTACTGATTATTCGCGACCCGATTGGATGCTAGATTTTCCAGTACGCCAAACGATCTGTATGGTGTCCATAGTTATAGTCAGGTCTTAAAGTCTGCGAATGCGGCTTATTTTAAGTATCTCATTTTTCAATTTGAACAGACTTGATTTTAGTGTTTTTGGTGTCAAAGTCAAAGCCACCTTTTTTATAAAATTAAATCATTGTCGTGACTTATCAACTCATATCCAGGATAAAAAACCCTAAAATGAACTAAACCACATGGGTATAATCAAGACTTTCACTTTGAAAGGTACCCACTGCGAATCACAACTAAAACGAAATGACAGTCACGGATGTATAAGTTTGTTTTTGTTTCAGCGCTAATCATTCCTTAAATGTTGTTCTCATAATTTATAACCGTTATGTACATGATCACGCCATAGGTTCTTTCTCGTTCGCAAACGGTATCCCAAACTTTTTTTGAAAAAGTCACGGACCTGGTTTCATACGTAAAGACGCCAATAGCTATCGTTATAGCAGTTCTTTTCCGGTATTGTTTTCGCACTTTAAATAATTTGCTCAATCCTTTTTTCTTATAATTTGTCTTAGTTTTATAGAATATATATAAACCACATTTTTTAATTTGAAAGCGCACAAGTACAGTTTGAAATGAAATAACTTGGTACATTGAAATCTGTGCGTAATTCCCATTCTTTACGATATATTTACAGAACTGCTTTAACTTTAGTTTCTACTACTTTACTAATAATTATTATGACAAGCAAATTTCAAAAAAATATCTCTAATTCAAGACTAACTTACCTCTCGACGGCAGGGGTGTTGTCAAACRGACAAGCCGTGGTGTGAATAATGATTCTTGTCGATCCACTAATGATATAGCCTCATATTATAACGTCAGCCAGTTTCAGAATATATTGCACATGTTTCTCATTGTCTGGGGTTTCACCTCGACTGCGGGTTATTTCGGTTTTCTACTGATAGCATAATAGCTAATGGGTTTAATTACCTTACTTTAGAGTGAAAACGAAAATGTCGTTATCCCCATACATGCAATGTCAAAATAACGTCGATAATCTTCATGCTGTCAGCAGTAGTACGATTTGTGTTTTTTGTTTTTTAATGAGAGGTTTAAAATGTTTCAATCTAATTCCTAAAGATCTATATTTGTCGTATCTACAAACTGGTCAAGAGAAAAGAGAAAAAAGTTTCCATCTGTTATTGTAAGAAAGTGAAACAATCGAGCAATAGTTTTGAATTTCTTTTTCGATATAAATGTCATAGATAACTGTTTTAACACGTTGTCTTTTAATTGAAAACGAAATTCGCAAGTACAATATGAGTCACCTCCCAGTGAGGCAGTCTAATTGTTAAAACATATGGATTTGATTGTAGTTTTGCTCATGTTTTGAGTTTAAATACATTATGACTAATATTAATTTGTATATCTTGGAACCACGCCCGCACACTGCCAACTGGGAGTGATAACTCAATTCTATGTTCTCCTGTGGTCCGGCTTTATGGAAAACTCGGCTTGACGAACCTAGGATCAGGAGCTATGACATCGCTTGTAACAACTTCATGGAAGAAAGAATTAAAAAAAATCATGCTTCATGGTGTATTTTATGTATTTTTGAAAATGAAAGAAATTGTCCTTGTAAGTAACACAGGAAGCCCGTATGTGTTTTACTGGTCAGCGGCATAATTCATAAGTCACGTGTGTAACGTCGCGCGAAAATTCTTCAGAGAAGTTGACAAAATAATACAAATTTCTGCACTCGAATGGCTTGAAATATGAAATAGGCAGTGGTGATGAAGCACTATAATGGCTTGAATATTGTGTAAGGTTTRAACTCAAACTTAAGATGTAAAAAAGGAGGACAAAGCGTAGTTTCGCGTGAAAAGTTTTTTAACATGGCAAGCTCGTCAGGATCGTTGAGTCAAAAACTTGCTCAAATGATGGATACACTGCAGAGACAACAGAGTAGAGATGTCGACAGGTAGAGTTATATTTTCTTGACAAAACCATTGTTATTTATTCATGTAAGACCTGGTTTTAACTTTTGCACTCTCCTGTTCGCACTCCCTCCTTATTTGGGCCTATGGAGTGCATCCCCTCACTATCAATTCTAAGCTGATCATAAGCAGACTTGGATAGCTACTTCAGCCCTCTTTACTCGTTTTGTTTGTAGTTTGAACACACAGGAACATGCGATGTCAGCCATTGAGATGAGGGCAGGTCTTGGAACTTTTATTGAGGAAATCTTCACTGACTTAGTCTCAGGTAGATTTATATGTCAACAATTCATATTGTGTTGTTTTTGTTGTGCATTACATTACAATGTAATATTTTAATGGTGTAAATTAGAGGTCTTTGTTGTTTTTAAGCAGTTTTGACTTGGACAAAATGATATATTATATGTGTAGGACAGACCTAGTAAATTATTTTCATACATCTATAGTGTCAAGCAAGCTCACAGGAGAGTCCACTGGAACWCTTCATCCCAACACTTTTTGGCAGCTTCTCCATATATGTATACAAAACTTCCCAGGATTCTTAGTGGAGGTTGTACACAGGACTCCCAAAGATAAACTTGGTTTGACCAATGAAAAGAAAGKAACAAGCACATCAGAGCCATCCAAAGGTGCTCATAGATACAAATAGAAAATAAATGTTACAAAATTATTTGTTTTATGTAGATGAATTTTCTGCACATTGAAAAGAGGGAATATTTTGAAATATTGTACATGTCTTTCAGCATTTACTGTGTGGGTTGTGTCCAGAATTGTGCGAGTTCTAGCTGAACCAGGGTGTAGTCCTTTGCATGATAAGGCCATATCATTTATTCTCTCAATAGCTCAGGTATATCACACTGACTGACAGTAATATGTGATGCTTGTTTGTGATTCTTGCTTTATTTAATTAATTATAATTTTATACACTTTGATCTTCTTTATAGTTGGTTAAAAGCAAAGACCTGGTTTTCTACAGACGTATCATCACTGAATTTGTAATATTGTTAAGGGGTAGGTGTCAATCAATATTGTAATTGAATCGCAATTAATCACTCATGCTGTGATATAGAGTTTAGCACCAACCACCCTGTCCCTTGTAACCATGACAACAATGATAATTAAGTTGGAAACACTRCTAATGGAAAGTTGCAAAGTATTTATTTATTTATTTTTGTAGACTTGGTCGTCATAGAGGAGACAATCTTTGCTGAGAGTGAAGTCCCTGATGGTACTCTTCCTCTACACTTGGATCATTTCCAATTCTTTGATGCTCATGATTTGGGTCAGGTAATAATTTTACTTATTAATTTATTTAATTGTGGCATCATTAATACAATAAATTATTATGTTTTAGAGTTGCCATGGTAACAGTGATATGTCAAAACTTACCAAAAAACAAATCTGCATAAAATCAGAAGAAGGTTGCTCCATGATACACGAATGCATAAGGTATCTTAGTACTTATTAGATTTATTGGTATAAGAGAGAGAGTAGAGGGAAAGGAAATTATTACTATTAATATAATTTCATTCTTTAGTGCCAATGTATGTGCAAACCATTCACGACTTTCCATACTCAGGTTCAGTGACCACAAACAAAGCATTAAAACGAGGCGTCAATGTACAGTGAGCATAAAAGAAAAGATCTGTGATCAGTGTTCCTTGACGCCTCAGTTCAATGTTTTGTTCGTGGTCACTGAACCTGAGTATRGAAAGTCGTGAATACTATAGATCTTTGTAAGAATTTCAACGTGGGATGTAGAGTCCACCATCTCAATGACATGGTCTATTCTTGTTGTATTACCAACTGATGATTTGAAGATATGTGTTCTTGTTTAGTCAGATTGTACGGGAAGTTGTTGACCATGTTTGTCATTATGGTAAATGATTGAGTAAGTGTCTTGTTTTTAGTCAAATTATATGTGAAGTGGTTGGTGATGTTTGTCATTATGCTAATGATCAAGTCAATCTTCTGTGGAGAACAGCTTGCATACAATTACAAACAGGAATATCCATAATAAAACAGGTAAATTCAACAATATCAGAGGATAGTTCAAGCAGTCTGACCAACATTGTATTTGTTATTGACCTTTGACTCAATCTCTTTTTCTAGTTTGCTCTCAAGATTCTCACAGATCTACTGAGGCATCTTGGTCTGCCTGACCTGCCTATACTGGATCAGTTTATCAAAACGCTTTGTGCTGTTATTGATCTTTGTGGTTCTGGTATTTGCCATTCATTGCCAAGGTGCGCMACATTCATTACACTCACATTTACAAGCTTCCTCAAGACACTCTCGCAATATAGACTTTCAATTATTCCAGCTCCAACAGAGGCAGGATTTTTTATAGACTATAATCCTCTAACACTACACTTGAGGAACTCATAACTTTCAAATAAATTCTGTACATTTTAAGTGACATACAACAACATTATATTGTCATAATGTTGGTATTTTTTGTTTCAGTCATCATTACCATGTGATATCTCATAATCATACAGGCAGTTTTTCTAACCATTCACTAATCACCTAGTGACTTACTTTGTCTTTAGAAATACAGTTGTTGAACTGGAGAAGAGTCTTTCAACATGCTTGAACAAGCTTTTTAGTGAAACATCAAAGACAGTTGATAGAAAACAAAGTGATAATCATTGKAGTGAGCAAKCAMCACRCAGTCCACATYATATCCTRCCTGCTTGGCATTTAAACCTTGTTTRCGTTCAGCTTAGTAAAACTATTGGATCGGGTGGACTGGGGATGCTACAGACTTTAGAATTAAAGGTGATCATTTATTGTTGGTAGTTGTTGATAAGTGGTATGTATCATTATTGACAAAAGGAATGAAATGATGGTTATTATAACAATCAGCTTAAATCATTGTGAGACTTTCACTCTCAGAATAGCAGCCAATTGTGAGTGTTTTATTTCACAACAATTCTAATTTATACTAACACAAATTATATATTTTTTTACAGTCATGCATTTGTGATATAATCAAGTACATCTATATTCACATTCCTGAAGATTACTCCTCTTCATCGGAGTCTCTGTACAAACATACCATCAGTAGAGCATTAATACAACATGTYGCTATGGAGACAGATCAACAAGTAAGTACTGAGCAGTAGCAGTTTGTATTTTAGTATTTTGCACATTTCTTGGCCCTTATCCAGTAAATGCAACTCTTATGGAACTCTGTCTCTTCTTTCATACTAAATCTTCTCTCTGAATACTTGCAGTACATGGTGGGTTGCCTGTGTAAAATCATTAAAAGAGAAGATGTAAAAACAACTCATGACAAACAGGTAATTCTTCATTGTTTTTTGTCTATTGATTGTGATTGATGTAAATTATTATTATTATTATTGTGTGTGTGTGTCAATAGGGGGCTGGTATGTCAAAGMAAGATAATGTTGGTACATCGCTATCAAGGTTGGTATAATCTGTCTGAAGTCTCTTTTACTCTCCTTGCTGCTTATTTTAATATCAGCTTATTGGACTGTTTTTATAACAAGACATCAAAATATTAATGCAAAACTATGTTTTGTAGCGCTGTCATACCTTGCAAGAAAGCAAGACTTAGCAATCTATCMCAAAAGAAAGGTGTCCAAAACAACAAACCAGGAACAAGCCAGGAAATAGACTCTACACTGGCACTGCTGATGGACAAAATGGATAAACWATTGCAAGATATCATTGAYGAGAGAAACAACAGCTCTATCAACATGGTAGGCAGATGCTGTCAATTTACATCACATAGGGCTACTGACTCATCTTATGTTGTTGTTGTCTTGTCCTAAAGGAAAGCTTTTTAACAAAGATAGAAGGAGTGAGGGTATTACTTGAAATACTATCAAGATCTGCTAAACCTTTACAAGGTTAGTTAGCTTATTATCAATATTTCTGGAGATCTTGGATTATTTTCTTTTGATGACCAGTTAATTACTATTTTATTTTAGATTATCTCAGTAACAAGAGATTACAATCTTGTTTGATGCTGCTTAATTCAAGCTTACAAATCCTCAAGCAGACAWCCAGCAAGAAAGAAMAAGACACGGCAWCTATAGGAGCAGTTTTCAAAAAACTAGTCCACCTTGTGATGATGCTGTTCTATGTGTCASATGATGTTACTTTAGTGTCTGAATTACARCAATGTATGCTCTTTGTTGCATCCATTCCTTGGCTTTGCAAAGTAAGCAGTCTGATTAGCTAACAGTGTGTCATTGCAAAATGGRAAAYCYKRWTYCYTAAATAACCAATAAATGCATGTGTTCATTTTGTTAAAGGTTGACCAGCCATGGAGTGATATCCCTCATATCTTTGGTCTATCTGTTCAAGATATGACTGTAATAACAGCAAAGCTAAGTCCTCACATTGATAAAGAGTGTCTTGGTGATTGTTTACATCAACTAGCAATGTTTAGATCTGACACTGCACCAACTTGGAGAAGTCATGTATTCATGATGTCATTGGTAAGTATTAAGTAGAGACTTCATATTCAATTTCTCATGGAAAGGCACAGTTGGTAAAATGGAAAAAAATCATTATTAAAAGCACAACACTTCTAGTTGCTAATAATTGAATTGGTTTGTGTTTTTGCAGCAAGGTAGTTGTGATGATATAACAATTCAAGCTATTCACTGGCTACCAACATTACTTTGTTCACTTGGTTCATTCTCCTACTCATTGGTGCCAGACAACCTACAAAAACTACTCTCCAGGGGTCCCYTGATACAGAAACAGATAGGCAAGGCTCTTGGGCCATTGGCTTGTGTGTTAACTGAGCATACCCTTATAAGGAAATGGAAATCTCCTGATATATTAAGTCCAATTGGTAGATGYATCAGTCTTTATTGCCCGGTTTGTGATCAAAATGGTGAGTAACTTTAGACATCCATTGTAAGACAATTATCAACACACAGCTATCAATTGAAATCTTTTATTGTCAGCATTTTCACTTTGTCTCTTCACTGTCTGGACAACATTGATAGAAATGACTCAGCATTGCTTATATCACAATCATAACCAATCAAAATACTACATCTTTGAAAGTTGTTCTGTCATTGATCTCCTGATGTGTCATTGTTTTTCAGACAAAAGTTCAAGCAACCAGCATGCAGTTATTGATGCAGCAGTGTTTACRCCATATCTACATCTCCTCTCATCTACAGTTAACTCTGCTATYAAACTAGCTTTTATAAGCAGTATTCCAAGGATATGTACTCACCTGGCTACWACACTCAACACCTCAGCTCATAGTTGTATTGTCACTGCTACATGTTGTGATCTGATTGAAGACCCAGATTACCATGTCAGACTAGCATTCAGGTATAAAAAAGACAAAAAAATGAAAGTTGTGCTAGTGATACATTGTTATTGGATTCATGATTTCTAATTTTTTTTCCAATATAGCAAGGTGATCTCCTATGTAACTAGGCCTGGGTCCAACACAGGTAGCCCACCATTAAGTGTTATGACTAAGMTGAAGAAAGCRTTCAGTGATGCATCGACTCATTCAAGTCACCATGGTAAAGTTGTCAGGCTACARGAGACTGTAGTATTAACAATAGGGCAGCTTGGTACCACGGCTGAGGGAGAGTTRCTTCTTGTTGTGATAGTCAGTCTGCTGAAAAGTCTTACTGCACAGTCTAAAGTGATCAGAGCAAAGGCATTCCAACAGGTATTGAACAGTTAACTGCATTGCAAGCTGTTAAGCTACCACTTATCCTGTTGAATTCATTTCAGATTCAAGAAATAGCACGTTGTCATTCTAAGCCAGTGAATGCTTTATTCTCTGAATTCAAGCTATCAATCTGTAAGTTTGTTGTYAACACAGTTCATGACCTTCAATCAACCAACCCTTCAACTAAAGAATCTTTGGATGTCATCACTGAAGTTGCAAGTGTCTTTGAATACAGAGATATACAGACCTTTGTAATGGTAAATTACCTCAATGTACATTAGTCCTATATAGCAGGATGTAAAAGCATACTTTTTAGACTGTAATACTGTAAGACTATTTAGTTTCAACCAAGAAAACTAATTTTTGACTGCTATCTAACAGTCAATGTTGTTTCTTTTTAGTCAACTTTACGGTTTATGATACCTCTCCTTGTGAAGAAGGCAACCATGGCATCATCATCYGTGCTRCGATTACTTGCAAAGGAACTCAAAGTCAGTAGAAGAGAAATGTTACTGGAAAACTTTAAGTATATCTTTTCCTTCCTGGTCAGAACCTGTTCACCAAGTGAACTGGAAAAAGCTCTGCAGTATGTTCAGGTAATGACTACTGGTAATGATGGTAATCTGGATAAAACTTGATGAGAAATACCCATAGTACACCTATCATTACTGCCAATAATATGTAGAATTCCTGTGCTTCAACTCAAGATTCTGTTTTTTCCTTTAGAAAGAGACAGATGTAGAACTGRGTAGTCTTCTGAGGTCTGAAGCMCAGAGTGTGTAYAAYCAGTTATTGCTGTACCTGAGTGTCAGCTATGATAAAGTCTTCAGTGGACTGTCCATGTTGGCAAGCAAAGATGACACATACACAGGACCTAAGGATTTGAAGACAGCTGACCAAATGGTATTTCCTTAACGTACCTGTCTTTCTCCCTTCCTTTCTCTTACWTCCCTTCCYGCATAAAARAGAGMTTTTTCTTCTTTGYAGGCCAATTTTCTTCAGCATCGATTGCTTGGTATTCTAGCCTTCTACAACACAATACTAGTAACAAATAGTGATTTAGAAGAGAAGAAACTAGCACTWCAGAGTTTAGTGAAACTAATGGAGATGATGGGACCAAGACATATCACAAGTGTGCGTGTTAAGGTAAGATAATTRATATTTGAAACAAATAGAATTTTAATGGTACTTTACTTTGCTTATAACTGTTGATATCTTTTTTCGTCAGGTGATGGGGATTTTGAGGCTTGGTTTACGGTTCAAAGACACAGGTTTCCCAGAGCTKTCCTGTGATGCATGGGAATGTTTTGTTCGTAATATTGAACTATCAAGTCTTGGTCCAATGTTGAGTGAACTTATTGTTACCTTGCTGCCGTATCTCAGTAAACTACCAGCTCGTGTTGCTAAAATTTACCATTTCTTAATKATTGAAAACAAATCAACACTAAGTGAGTACTTTCATGAGATTTACTTCTTGCCGGATGCACCAGAACTTAAAAAGGTCAATGCAATGCTGCGTACAGCTAGTGGGATCTCGTCAAGGAAAATGGATTTGAARACGCARATGAAAAGAGCATTGAAAGGTGTTGCACATGAAAATCTTGATGTCAGAAGACATGCATTATCAAAATTGAAGCAACTTCTTCATGACAACCAGGTAACAAGTTACTAATAAAGTAAACTCAAAAAATCATAATTAGTACACAGTCATTGATTGTTAATACACTCTTTGCAGGCATCAATACATGACTATGTTCTCAGTAATGAGACTGTAGCTCCAATCATACCAGAGATTGTTAGTGTTCTTATTTCAAGATGTCATGAAACTGACCCAGAGTCYAAGCTTCTTGTGTCTGAGTGTCTTGGTGAACTGGGTGCTGTTGATCCTGGAAGGTATRACATGATGGTTTCATGTTAGTATCCAAGTTAATTGTCTCAAATATTATCTCTCATGCAATTCATTGCAGGCTGGATGAGCTTACTCAAGTTCCTGTAGATGAGAAGCCTGTCTTTGAGGTAATGTTACTTAAAGGTTTTTTTCATGTTTCATAATATAATTTCATCTAGGGTCTGATGTTATGTTTCATGCTGTATAATGCTTGCCTTGGTTTGTTTTGCAGAGTGGCTGTGAAGACATGGAGTTTGCTCAGGAGTTGATAACAGAACTTGCTAGAGCATTCCTTGCAGCACATGATACAAGAGCTCAGGTGAATCCTGCTTCTATGATGTCCCTYGATGTCGAAATGAATGTTAATGATGCTAATTGTATGATTACTGCATTTCAGGATTGTTCAGCGTACGCCATTCAGGAAGTTCTCCAAGTCTATGGATGCAGTGAGACCAAGAAAGAAGGGTATGTGTCTGTCCTGGATTTCTACTGTCTGTAACTATTCTACCATGAYTGTTGTATGAACKTTGCTGGRAASTTTAGTAAATTGTTTTGTAGGCCTGGTTCAAAGYTGTGGCGTAAATTCCCTGAACATATMCAAGAAATCCTTCGACCTCATCTATACTCCAAGTAAGAATCACAAACAGAAATATATATGGTTAGAGAAATTCCAGTCACAGTATTACTTTATGTTCTTAGATACTTGAGCTCAGCAAACCCTAACTGGTCTCGACTGGCCAAACCAATCTACCATAGTTCAAAGGGGAAGACATTTAGTGACTGGGCAAGCACATGGACTTCATATATGATTACAAAGGTAATAGACACAAAGWCATATCAATAGAATTAAAGTGAGCATCCATGTGATCAGAAAAACAAGTAAGCAATAATGTTTAATGGAAAATGTTGTTCAGGTCAAGGAGCAGAAACCATCACGTATCTTCCAAGCTTGYAGYAAAATATTCAAACATGACATTCACACTGCACTCTTTCTTCTGCCTCACGTCATCATGTATGCTCTTATGGATGGAAGTCAGGATGATGTCAATGAAGTGAGTAAAGATTTACTTATGTTTCTCTGCACATTAACAGCATTTAGTGTATTGTAACGAGTAGTTTTTAACAAGTATTGTTGATTTAGATTCATGCTGAAATCATGTCAGTTTTGACGCATGTACAAGGTAACGAAGACCTTCCTGTAAGTGGGTCAGGTGAGTCATTTGATGATGATGATGATGATGATGATGATGATAATGATGATGAGCAACTATTTTGATCTGCTTGTTCACTTCAGATTTCAGCCATATGAGTGCACAAACAATCTTCACTGCACTGGACTATCTAAACCGTTGGACTTCTAAGAAGGCATCGTCATTCACAACAAGAACACAATCTGCCACAAGCAGAAATAGTCGTAGTGGATTATCAAACGGTACATGATTTCATTGTTATTCAATAGAGGTGATACAGGTGGCTTCAATAATGTTAGTTATGGTCATGGCTACAGCTTGATGTTTATAGATATTGTTTAAGTCAATACTAGATGATGATGATAACAATGATGATGATGACGACGAATGTATGGAAGTAATTTGTTTATTTGTAGGTCGTGAAAATGGGCAAGAGATTATCCAAGCATTTTTGCACAAGATTCCTCAGGTATTATTTCATAATATTCAACACAAGACAACATATGTGACATGGGCGCACGCAGAGATACGGATCTTCAAGTGTTGAAAATATCTCTCACGAGTGAGCATAGCAGATTGTGTTTTTTCACGGCATGAATTGCAGGAGACTAACAACTGTATTGCATGCAAACTATATGTCGATGCTTTCTTTTTCAGGATGTTTTGTCTTCGGCCTCATTCAACTGCAAGGCRTACACCAGAGCTTTGATGCATTTTGAATCATTTATCAACAAGCAAAGCAAAGACAAACAGGAACACTTAGGATTTCTGCAAAAGATTTATGTAGCATTGGATGAGCCTGATGGAGTTGTAGGTGTTGCTGCGATACGCAATCGTGAAGTCACATTACATCAACAGATCTTGGAGCATGAAAGCTCCGGTATGTAAAGTAGTTCTTCACAAAAAACACTCTTACTTTCTCATTGTATTTGACGGTAGAGTCTTTTGTGCTAAGTTATATTTATGACTAAGGGTTCCTCTCTGTGTAGACTAGTTGTACTATTGTTCTTGCTATGTATATTTTGTTTGATGTAAGATTTTTCTTCGTTTGTGTTGAAGGTCAGCTTCGTGATGCTTCAGCATGTTATGAAAGCGCAATTCAAGAAGACCCTAGCAACGTCGACCATCATAAGGTATCTATGCGGTATTTACTAATACTTGCTTTTGTTATATTCATCATTGTTAATTTATCAATCAATTTGCAGGGATTATTGAACTGTTTGATGGGACTAGGCCAGGTTACYAATGCCCTCATGCACTCTAAYGGKATTATTGCACAAAGGTARAGCCATTTATTTTTCATGTTATCATCGTCACTGACACCTTGAATGGTTGTCATCATCATCAATTGCATCATCATCATCGCTTAATGCCTAAATATAATCATTATCAAGCCTCAGTTTCTTTCATATTGTTGTTGCAAGGCAAATCTAACCTATTCTCTTCGTCATTAGTCATTATCATTCACATTATCGCATTTCATTATCTTTTCAAAAGACCAGAGTGGAAGGGATCTCTAAACACCTTCCGTGTTGAAGCTGCATGGAGACTAGGACAGTGGGACTCCCTCTCGAACTTCTTAAAAATGGTTTGTAAACKAATTCCTTGCCTMMYATACGCTTGCTAAAACTATAACTGAAGGGCTTTTTTCCAGGAAAAAGGAAGAGGTGACTGGAATATTGGTGTTGGACGAATCTTACTTGCTGCTAAGGAAATGGTATGTAAGTGGAGTGAAATATGGTCATGTCAGGCAATATTATACAAAACTAGTGGTTTAAAGGAGAACGATTCAAACTKTACATTTTTGATAGGATGAAGACTCTTTTAACCGYCAACTGCGTATTGTTCGTAGTCAGCAGATGGGACCTTTGTCTGCAGCAAGTATGGAATCAGGAGCCTATCAGCGAGGTTATGAGTACATAGCGAGGTAGTTTCTTTATTTCAACGACTATTTGGTAAAGTAACTCGTGTAAAATTGTTAATCATAGTGGTTCTGTTTTGTTTATATTCAGATTACACATGCTACGAGAACTTGAGAGCTTCCTTGGTGGAATGCTCCAGGGTACAGCAGCCGTTGATTCTCAGTTGTTTGAGGGATGGAAAGCTCGTCTACAAATTACTCAGGTGAAGTGTTGTCTCTGTTAGATGCACTAACGTTCTTGATTTTGTGTTCTGAAATTCGATGAATACTACAAACAGAAGGAACAACTTGATGTAACTATTCTGTCGATGTATTGTTTTTAGAAATCATTTCGAACAAGAGAGCAGATTCTWAATCTCAGAAGAGCAGTGCTCAATATGTTTCCAAGGTMAGTRAATGATTTTGTCTTCTGATAGCTAAATGATGTCATAGTGCMGGTTGTTATAGTTTTTGTTCAAGTTTTTTATAGTGGTTAATGTAGTAATTATTATAGTTTTTTCGCTTTAAGTACTGACATAGTAAAGAAAGAGCAAGGAGCAAGCTGGCTACAAAGTGCCAAGATAGCAAGAAAGTAAGTAAATGTCGTTTTGTTGTTTTCTCCCATGCAATAAAATGATTGAAATACTTCCTGGTTTTCCAGGGAAGGTCATGTCCAGGCAGCATTTAGCTCTCTTCTCAATGCCAGCACCTTTTCTTTGCCACAAGTTTGCATTGAACGAGCAAAATGGTTGTGGAGCAAGGTATGGTCAATGGTCTAAATACAATTATAGGTCGATTAGCAGATAATTATCAATGAAATGGTTGATTCATTTATTTGAGTCAATAATCCATCAATCGGTTGGTCTATCCGCTCATTCATCGTTTCATCCATTCATCCATAGCCTGTGTAGCGGCCCTAAGGGTCCTAAGGGCCGCTACGCAGGCTATTTATCCATATATTTCGATCCATCCATTCATTGTTGATATATTGTCTTTTTAACCCATCCATCCAGTAATTCATTTATTCATTCATTCATTCATTCATCCATCCAGTAATTCATCCATTC